TAGGGTCGGGTTATGAGTCATCTTGAATTGGATAATTTAATTTCAGATTACGAATCAAGAAATGTTCAACCCTTATCCAAAGTTTTGGCTTCGGGTCAACCCAAAGGGCGGGCATTGTACATTTATTTATTTATTTTTTGTTAACTTTTTAATTTTTTAATGTATTAAATCGAACATTTCCTCAAACATTATTATTATTAATTACATGTCTACTAGATTAAAAATCGTCACAAAAGCACATCAATTCCTAACTAATTTTGTATCAACGATATATTTTAAAATTTGAAAGATTAAAATTTTATCTTAAAATTCAATAAATAACTTGGGCGTCGCACGAGGCATAAAACTAGTTATTTGAAAGATTATTATATCATCCAAAAGATAATTATAACATGTGAGTAAACTGCTTATAAGCGACTATATCATTTAAAATATGACTTACAACAAGATAAATATATTATCTAAAAAAGTGATTATATCATCAGGATGTGACTAAATTATTTGATAGTGTCAAATATTAATTTATTGTACATCGGGTGCACATAAGATCTTTAAAAAAAAAAAATCACTCTATAGAGTTTTGGTAAGTGTTTTTTTAATAGTAAGGCTCCGTTTACTTCACCTTATTTTGGCTGAACTTCAATTATTTTTACTGAAGGGGAAATTAATTTTACTAAACTTAAATTATCTTTGCTGAACTGAAATTATTTTTTTTTACTGATTTTCTATAATATTTCTTCTTTAAAATTTACTGATTTTTACTGAACTGAAATTATTTTTGCTAAATTGAACTTATTTTTACTGAACTAAAATTAATTTTATTGAAATACAATTATTTTTATCGTATTTTTCAAGGTGAAATGAACGGAGCCTAAGCCCCATTCACTTCACTCTATTTTTGTTGTATTGAAATTACTTTTATTGAATTGAAATTGTTTTTGCTGAACTTAAATTATTTTTATTGAACTTAAATTAATTTTACTAAAATAAAATTATATTTTGCCTTAAAAAATAAACATTGAAGTTATTTTCGACGAACTAAATTATTTTTACTACTACTACTTTTAACATGAAGTAAAAAGTGCCTAAAATAAAAAAAATCCTTATAAAAAATTTGCTCATACTTCTAAGTTCTAACTGCAAATTATTAAACGAAATTGCAAATCTGTAAACGAACCAGACCAGAACACCAACAACAATGGCGTCGGCAGATCTAGCGTCGGTGCAACCACCGCCAACAGTTATTCTAAGAAAACTGAATTCCACTAAACTTAACTTATTTTTACTGAACTAAAATTATAATTACTGAATTAAAATTAATTTTATTGAATTAAACTTATTTTTAATGAAATGAATTATTTTTACTTAATTTAAATTTTTAAGGTAAAGTGAACAGGACCTAAGTCCTTTCAACATTAAAGACATTTAGGCCATGTTCACTTCACCTTATTTTTGCGAAACTGAAATTAATTTTACTGAACTGAAATTATTTTTGCTGAATTGAAATTATTTTTATTAAACTAAAATTAAATTATTTTTATCAAAATAAAATTAAATTATTTTTATCAAACTAAAATTAAATTATTTTTTATTAAACTAAAATTAATTATTTTTTCTGAATATTTTTTTTCTTCACGAGAACTGAACAAGACTAATTAAATAGTCCCTCCGTTCCCTAATGTTTTTTACGTTTGGAATTATGCGCGGTTATTAAGAAATTGTGTAAAGTTGAGGTATATTGGAATATTTCAATGATTGAAAGTACAATTTTATTGAAAAATACAATGTTGAGCATGTGGGGTGAATAAATTAGAGGAGAGAGGAGAGAGAAAGTAATAATAAGTGTTGAAAACTATTAAAATAGTACAAAAAGTACAGTAGCACATGGAAAATTAAGGAATTTTGAGTAAAAAATTGTAAAACAAGGGTAATTTTATCCAAAGTTTATGACCAAAATAGGAAAGATACTAAGGGGTCGTTTAGTTCACTCAAGGTAAACAGAATGGAATGAACAATGGGAATGAAAGAGAATGGAATGAAAAACCATTACATTTGCTACGTTGTTTGGTTACAAAAAACAAAGAGAATCCAACCATCCTTCTAAACACCACACCACCACCCCACCACAACCATTACAAACACAACAACTTCCATTTATTAACTTTTCCAGCCACCCCATAGCCCAGCCACCCCCACCACCCCCTTCACCGCCCTTCTCTCTCTCTCTCTTCCACCGCCTTCCACGCTCCGAAACCCTAAGCTTCCTTCAATCTCTTCAATCTGAAACCCTAACCTAACCTTCTTGAAATTCTTCTTCCGATTATCGAGGAGAGGTGGGGGAGGGCCGACGAAGGGCGTGGTGGGGTTGCTCGGCGATGGGCGTGGTTGGAAAAGTGAGAAAGAGAGGGTAGTTGTGTGGTGGGGGAATATTTTCGAGGGTGATGAGGGTTTATCGGGGAGGGGCGGAGGTAGGCCGGGGAGGGGCGGAGGTAGGCGGAGGTGGGCCAAGGAGTTGTGGCGGTGGGCGACAGGGTGGTGGAGGTAAGTTAGAAGGTGGTGGCTGGTAGTGAAGTGGTGGGTAGGGAAAGGGAATGCAAAAGGCTACGTGGGGTGGGGAATCAATTTGGAATAAAAATGGGTAAACTCAAAAATAAAAATGGGGAAAGGGAATGATAAAAATGGACAAACAAAGAAGAACAAAGGGAATGATAGATGTTCATTCCCTTTCCCTTTAATAATTAACCCCAACCAAACAACTCCTAAATGTAAAGAATAAAAAGGAACACCCTAAGTGGAAACGTAAAAAACATTTAGGAATGGAGGGAGTAAGAGGTAAGTGGGGTTGTTGGAGTATTAAAAAATTGTAAAATAAAGATAGTAGGGTTAATAGTTTATTGAAAAGTAATGAATGTGAGAGGAAAAATATAATAAAAAAGTAATAGGGGATTTGGGTGGGGACCATGAGATGAGAGAGATATAATATTTTAATGTAGTTTTTTGCCAAAAAACGAATTATAACGGCCGAAAATGGAAAATGTAACACTTAGAAAAAAACACGGAGGGAGTATGTGATATGTTAAATTTTAATTGTAGCTTCTAATACACAATTTAAAATAAAAGTAGGCAAAAAATCCGACCAATATTTTTTTTTCTGCTGTAAAACAGATCACAAAATATTTTTAAGACAGTCCCTTTTGCATGCACCTGGTGTACAATATTTTTATTGTACATCTGACTGTTTGCACGTGCCACTCATTTACTAGTTTTTTTTTTAAATCGCGGAATTTCATACCTCAAAATCAAAAAAACGCAGAACAACAATGGAGGAGAGATAAAGTGATAAAACGCAGCTCTCGATCATCAATTGAGGAGAGAGAAAGTGAGAAAACGCAAAAATTGCAGAAATCGATCATCAATTGAGAAGAAAAAAGGTGAAAAAACGCACAAATTGAAAAATTCGATCATCAATTAAGGACAGAGAAAGTGAGAAAACTTACAAATTGCAGAATTCGATCATCAGTTGAGAAGAGAGAAAGTGAGAAAACGCACAAATTGGAGAATGCGACTTTCGATACCACAAATTGTAGCAATCTCATCCACGAATTGCTACAAAAACAGAGGCAAATTGAAACTGAATTTGAAATCGATTTAAATCGATCGATTATAGAAGAAGAAGAAACTAAGAGTTTTGTAGATGAATTCATACCAATATTCAACAATCCAAACAATGGGGACGGTACAGAAGAAGCAATTAACAATGCAGAAGAAGCAATTGAGAATGTAGAAAATCAAGTGGTTCCTGGCAAATCAATTGATTCAAATTCAGAACAAACAACCAAATCAAATGCAACTGAAGGTAATTTCTATAAACTTTTCAGATTGTATGCAAAAAGTAACCCTTTGTATTCCTTAAAGTCACCCTTTTCATGCATAAAAGTGACCCTATTTTTGCACAAATGTTACCCTAAGATTGTATGTAGAAAATTAAGATTGTATGCAAAAAGTAACCCTTTGTATGCCTTAAAGTTACCCTTTTCATGCATAAAAGTGACCCTATTTATGCACAAATGTTACCCTAAGATTGTATGCAGAAAATTCAAATTGTATGCAAAAAGTAACCCTTTGTATGCCTTAATGTTACCCTTTTCATGCATAAAACTGACCCTATTTTTGAACAAATGTTACCCTTTTGTTGCCTCCAATTTGAATGATATGCTGCCTCTGGTTATAATCTGATATATCCGTATTAAATCACATATACAAATCCAATTCATGCTTCTGGTTTAGATCTTATAGGTTCATTTCTAGGTGTGGTAAAAGAAACTTTTGAAGAAATTTTGGAATTGTATGAAAAACATGCTGCTATACTGGGGTTTTCAATACGAAAGCATACAACTAGATACAAGACACACAAAAAAATTGTAACTGAGAAAAATTATGTGTGTTCTGCTGAAGGAAAGAGAAATTCAGGTGACAAGAAAACAAAGTTAGTTGAAATGGTTGATGAAGAGGATGTGAATGTAAAAACAAGAAAGCCATTACAAGATCGAATTACAAGGCATGCATAAGAGCAAAAGTGAATAAAGAGGGACAGTTTGAGGTAGTGACTCATGTTATTCAGCATAACCATGAGCTAACAAGGTCACAATGGCATTATTTGCATCGTTCTGAAAGAAAAATGACAGAAGAACAAGCTGAAGCAATAAAAACAATGAAATCTTCAGGTCTAACTACAATGGACACTTACAATTACATGGCTACAGAGCCTGGAGGAGAGCAGAATGTAGATCATAGTGTTTTGAATCTTGAACCCGACCTAAAAAGAAAGAGATCACCTGAAATTCTGCTCAAGGTTAAGAATGGAACAAATTGAGGCTAGAGATGCTCAAACTTTAGTGAACATTTTAAATCAGGAATAATCAGAGGATCCAAACTTCTTTTTTAGAGTGAAGTTTGACAAGGAAGGAAGAATTTTCAATATCTTTTGGAGAGATTCAATGATGCTAGAAGACTATAGGATATATGAAGATGTTCTTGTCTTTGATACAACATACAGAACCAACAGATATAATCTTATATGTGCTCCATTTGTTGGAATAAATAATCACTGGCATAATTGTATGTTTGCATGTGCTTTTATTGGGGATGAAAAAACAAATTCATTTGTGTGGCTACTAGAAACCTTCTTGAAAGCTATGGAGAATAGAACACCAACTTTAATATTCACTGATCAGGACCAAGCAATGGCAAATGCAATTGAGCAGGTAAAAGATTTATATTGACATTTTACAGATTTTAAACTCTGACAATAATGTTTTCCTTTTTCCCATAAAGTTACCCTATTAACTGCATAAAGTTACCCTTTTAACAGCATAAAGTGACCCTTTTAACAGCATAAAGTGACCCCTTTATTTTCAATGTAGGTGCTTTCTAATACAAGGCATAGACTTTGTATCTGGAATTTGGAACAAAATGCCATAACCAGATTTGGAGCTCTTAAAAAAGACAAAGAATTCAAGTATGCATTCAACCAGTGCTTAAAGATGTGTGTGACAGAACAAGAATTAAAATGGCAGGAAATGATGCAGAAATATGAGTTGACAGCACACTCTTGGTACCAAAGAGTGTACGAGTTGAAAGAGAAATGGTGTCCTTCCCTTAGTAGAGATTTCTTTTCAGCAGGAATCTTATCGTCACAAAGGAGTGAAAGCACTAATCATGCAATACGATTCAGAGCAAGTAAAGCAACTACCTTGACAGAATTTTATACCATATTTAAGAAGACAACCAATCGTTGGAGAAGCACAGAGAAATATGATGAGTTTACCTGTAGCAAGTCAATAGCATTCACTTTATTGCCACTGTCTGGAATGCTAAAGCATCTACACAGGTAAAAAGTTAACTGATAAGTACATAAATTACACATAAATTATAGCAGTTTAAATGTAGCTAAAGTATTTTGGTGAACAGGTTTTCACTTTGTCACTCTTTAGAGATTTTGAAGAGGAGTTTGGATACTCTATGACAACAACTGTTCAAATGATTGGAAGAAATGAAGAATGTCTACTTTATTAAGTAGCCTTGGAAGAGAAGCCATGGTCTGCACATCAAGTAAACTATATACATGAGAGCCAGAGTGTATGGTGCACTTGCAAAATTTTTGAAGCATCTGGATGGTTATGTTATCATTGCATCAAAATTCTACACTTGCATTCAGTAACAAGAATACCAGACAAGTATGTTTCAAAAAGATGAACTAAGTTTGCAAAAACAGAAGCATGGGATAGGTTGAAGAATCAGGATCCTACACAACAATATATTTCATGGAGACAAACAATGATAAGGAAATTCTACAATCTAATCTTAAAGAGTCAAGAAAATGAAGAAACAAGAGAATTTATGGAAGAAAGCTTCAAAAACAGTCTTAAAATGGTGGAAGACTTACTTGCTAGTGCTGCTCAGAGAGAAAGTGCAAAAGTTGCTTCTAATATTCCTGATCTGGCAGACAGCAATAATGATGTTTCTTCGGCATCGAGTACAAGCACAAGTGTACCAACAATACTTGATCCAAAAAGGGCTGTAACAAAAGGAAGAAGCAAGAGAGCAAAAGGAGGTCTTGAAAAAAGCAAGAGAAAAAAAAAACCAGCATTGCCACCTCCACATTTAGAATCTGGATCTAAAGCACCTAATTTGAGACTTTTTTAGGAACTTTTTTAGATCATATTTTTTTTCAAAATTAATGTACTTTGTATTCTAAAACTATATTTTTTTTACTATATGACTAGTTTAATGAAAATGTGATTGCCACTATTATTAGCATATCTTTATTTAGTTAAACGTTTAAATCAAGATCAGAGAATCCAAACTACAAAAGTGACCCTTTTAACAAAAAACAAAAAAAAAAAAAAAAAAAAAAAAAAAACCTTTTCCAAGCAAAAAGTGACCCTTTTAACAGAAAAAGTGACCCTTGTCACATAATAAAGTAACCATTTACATAAAAGTGACTCTTTTTATACATAAAAGTGACCCTTTTCATGAATAGAAGTGATCCTTTTTCTACATAAAAGTGACCCTTGTCATAGCTAAAGTTACCCTTTCTAACAACTAAATCTACCTTTTTCTTGCTTAAAAGTTACCCTTTCTATAAATAAAAGTTACCCTTTTTATGCATAAAAGTTACCATGTGTACTCACAATATTATCCCTTATCATGTATAAAGTTATTCTTTCTACCCACAGAAGTAACCCTTTCTATGCTACAAGTTCACCATTTTATGCAAAAAAGTGACCCCATAAAAAACATAAAAATAAACCTTTTAATTACTTTATGTATGCACATACATCATTATTCCAAAAATAAAAACCAAAGACTTTGTACTAAGTTTAATTACACCATTGAACTTAATGTATGCACATACATTAAGTTTTTTCATTGTTAAAAAAAATCCCTGACCTAATCAGCTAATAGCTATCAATCATTTCACTATTTAGAAGGAGTATACTTTTTTGCCCTTTTTCCTTTGGTCTTTTCTTCTTCTGCCTCTGCCTTTGTTGCTGCTTGTGCTGCCATTTTTCTTTCTTCGGTTTCTTTCTTCTTCTTCTCAGCAATTGCAGCCTTTAATCTTTCTTCAACTCCATTGACATAAGCAGGATCTTTCTTCTTCTCGCTGAACTTGGGTAATTCTGACAACACATCATTCCTAGATTCATTCAAATCACCCAGCACCAGTGTGGTACAGATCACTCCTCGCAGAAATTTCCTTCCAATAATCTCACAACAGGAAAAAAAATTATCAATATGTAATTAATAAAAGCATTAGAAAGGAAAAAACTACATAAACTATATAGATAATTACTGTTTTGAGTTCATTTAATTTGAACGATTCACCAACAAAATGGAGCATGTGATACATGACAAAGACCCCACAGTCCAAATTGTCAACGTTATCTTTTCTCCATTCCAACTCAACAACTTCAAACCCATAAGAAGGTAGCTGAGAGCTCTTTGGATGATTTCTTTTGCCAAGAAAAGCACCCATTTGAACACACTGACATAAAATATAAAAGTTTAGAATACATTAAAATCAAAAAAGTTAAAATGGAAACAATGAATCAACAGAAACATAACAAAAAATAAACACAAACATACCATGTGTGAGCACAATTCTTTTGTATAATCAAGAGCAGAATCATGCCAGATAACGTTGTCAAGATAATATACCAACTCTTTTGTATGATCAATAACAAACAAAATGTAGTGATTCTCAATAAGAACAGGAAAATAGATCTGAAACAGCAAAATTAAAAGAGATTTAGACAGAGCAAATCATAAACAGAACTCTTTAAAAGTTATGACATTAAGTTTAGCATAAATATACCGGATCAGCATCCATTATATCACATTCTGGATTCTCATAGCTCACCCAACCTTCCCATAGATCGTGCAAATCCTTAACAGCACTAAAAATGTTATCTTTGCCAATATTGTCACAAACATGCAAGAATGCAAACTATTAAAGTATAAAATCTCATCAATATATATATAAAGTAAATGTGTTAAAATATATATATAAAAAAGAAAGAAATAACTTACACTTTGCCTCACACCAAAGAAGAATTTTCGAGGACCAATAGCCTCAAAACATGCTTTCTTATTCAAATACAGACAGTAGCAATCAATAATGCACCACCGAATCCTGAGTGGAGCAACAAGGGACACCATGTCTTCTCTTGGAATTAAAAAATTCATTCCAAAAGTAACAAGGCTCTCACTAAAACAATAAAAAAAAAATATCAGCATTACAAAAATATATATATATATATATAAGAAAAAAACAGATAAAATAATAATTTATTGTAAAAAATGACACTTAACTTCCTATTCATTAAAACATCCTTGAGCAAACAATAATCAAGAACTTCTAAATGTAACTGAGGCAAATTCCTGAAAATCTGAGCATTGGCCTTCAAAAACAGAGTTACAAAAGGCACCTGCACACCTACTGGTCCACAGTCCAGAGAGCATAGAGATTTATTTGCTCTGATGATACGTACAGCAGGTTCATTTTGATCAATATGCCCGATAGGAATATTTTCAGTAGGGCCAAGAATGATAATAGAAGGTCCAGAACCATTAAGACCTTCATTAACCATTTTCCATGACCATTGTCACCATCCTTAGGAATATCTTCATTGAAACCTTGTGCAGGTTCTTTTTCATGAACAACATCTTTATTACCTTCTGTAGGTTCATAAAAACCATGAAACAAATCATGTACAGACTTCATTTTATTACACTCATCAATTAAACCATCTAAAATCTTCAGATAATGAGGATTAAAGAGTAGTTGTTCTATTTGAGAAACTGAAACGGAATCATCAGAAGATAATGAAACACTTCTGCGAGAAGTAATCAGCTCATTCAAGGTTTGAAAACCAGTTGACTGAACAAATAATAAAACATCCATATTTTTTTTAAACAAAAGAAATGTTTCATGAACAACCTACAAACATATGAACAAAAAAATAAATAAATAAATGTTACAAATAAAAATAATAAAATAAGTAAAAATTCAAAATATATGCTTAACGTGACCCTTTTAAATGCATAAAATGATCCTTTCATATGCATAAAGTAACCCTTTTAACTAAATATTTAGGATAACTTTAATGCATATAAAGGGCAACTTTGGTGCAAATAAAGGATAACTTTTGTACACAAAAAGGGTTTTTGTGCACATAAAGCAATAATAACTAAACATATAAAAAAAACAGAACACTTACATCAGTTGAAATTTCTTTAATTTCTTCATCAGTCATAATACCTTCTGGAAGCTCAAATGCAACAATGCGGCCAGTTGTACCACTTGTAGAAGCACCCTTATCATATCACAAAGTAGGAGATTGCTTAAAAACAGTTTCCCTAAAATTAAGCTGTGACACAGGATATGTAAAAGTATCCAACGGTCCTTGCCCATAACCACCAGCTTTGATCTCTAACTTAATCCGCTTCTTAATCTTTGCATCCGTCCAATCTTGAATCAAAGGAAGAGTACTACTTTCCTTTTTCACCTTGAAAATTTAAACGATGAAAATACATAATTTGCAAAGCCAGCAAACAACCACTAACATTTTGAGCAGTTTCATCATTCTTATACTTCTGAACAACCTTCTTTAACTTTTTCAAAACATATGAACACCAACAGAAAGTTTTAATTTCATCAACTTCTTCAACAGCTTTCAGCAACTTCAATGAAACAGTCCTATTAGTAGTAGGAGCTAAAAAGCTAGCCATAGCTTGAAGAACAAAACACCTCTTAAATTCTTCCCCTCCATCAATCAAATCAACCATCCGAGACTCCAATTTTGACAAATGAAGAGGTTGCTTACCAGAAAGACCATAATCAGATCTCCATGCCTAAATGATACGTTTATCTACACTTTCATCTTCAAAATTTTTATTAAGTTCAGGTACGAAAATATCACTCAAAGGCAAGCAAAACACATCGCATATATCATTTCTAGTAACAACAAATTCTTTACCAGTAGCAATTGTAAACATGCAGCTACCACCATTGAAGTTTTCAACAAGCCAAGGTAGCATTTGACGATTAAGAGTTTTCAATTTCAGATGTAATAAACCACCAAAACCAATTTCTTCAACAGCATGTTTTTGCTCAGGACTAAAGTTCTGCAACAAAATTTCCAATGAATATGGTCTACACCTTGCAATCAAGCTTCTTCGCTCCCTAAATAATAAAAAATAAATAAAAATGTAACTGAAAACAATATAAACTAAAAACAAAATATAATTAAAAAATGCAAAAAAAATAAAATAAAACTATGTATGCTTACACAAAAGACTCGGAATGAGAATCAGAAAGCATTTCATAATCAGAATCTTGCACTGTTTAGCTTTCTTAGGTACAATTTTGGCCTTCTTAGGAACTATTTTGGCCTTCTCGGACTCTGGTTTGTCATTCTTAGAAATAATTAAGCCCTTCTCAGGAATTGTCAAAGTCTTTTTAGGTACTGCTTTGCTCTTCTCAGGAACTGTCTGGGCCTTTTTAGGTACTTTCCTTTTCCTTTTGTAGGCAATTTATAACGATATCCACCTATTAAACCACATGTATCTAATTATTACAGAGAAATAACAAAAATAATACAAATTCAGAAATTACTCATGGAAAAATTTAGAACAATGTGCATAAATGACCCTTTTAAATGCATAAAGTGACCCTTCTAAATGCATAAAGTGACCCTTTTAACAGTACAAAGTGACCCTTTTAACAGCACAAAGTGACCCTTTTAACAGCACAAAGTGACAATTTTAACAACATAAAGTGACCATTTTAATAGAACAAAGTGAACCTTTTAACAGCGACCCTTTACCAACAAAAAGTGACCCTATTATATGCATAAAGTGACCCTTTTAACAGCATAAAGTGACCCTTTTAAACACAACAAGTAACCCTTTTAACTGAAAAAGTTACCCATGTAACAACATACAGTGACCCTTTTAACATCATAAAGTAAACATTGTCAAAGCATATAAATGACACATATGTCTATTACTCAAACACAATGAACAATGCACAAACACAATGCACATATGCATGTTAATCAAACACAAATGCACAAACACAATGCACATATGCCTATTATACTCATACTTAAACCAAAACATAAAACCTAAACCTAAAATCAGTTTAATTAGCATTCTCTACTATAAACCTAACATGCAAAATTAAAAGAATAATAAGCAATGATAAAAAAAATTCTGAAAATAAACATGAAAAATAGGTATAACATATAACAACACAACAACACATATATAACAAATTTTTGACCAATTATAAACAATGAACAAAAAAATAAAGCAAAATTAAACATATTAACTTCAAAATTCAAATTCAATTATCAGAATCTACATGAAAAATCAAGTGAAAACTATAAAAATAACATGCACTACTAATTCAACATATATAAGTGAAAATTCAATTGAAAATTTTGAAAAAGTGATGAAAAATTTAAGTAAACACACCTTCTTCAACATCTAAAGACTTCTTTGTAATCTTCTTCAACATCCGAAGACTTCTTTGTAATCTTCTTCTTAACCATTGCAGAATAAAACCCTACGAAAATCGAAAACAAAAACAAAATAAAAAAACCTAAAAATCGAAGAATCAAAACAACTTAAACTAACAAAAATCGCAAAAAAAAAAATAAGTAAACGAACTTGAATATAGCAAATAAACTTCGAAATTCAAACGCAGAGAGAAACAATCGATTGTAGAAGAAAGATTGAAGAGAGCAAAAATGGTGTTCGAAGAGAGAGAAAATGGCAAATTGAGGAAGAAACAAGAGAGAGAAAGTAGTTTGCTGAATAATGAAGAAGAAAGAGAAAATTACGCTTTTTGTTAAATTTGAAAAACTGTCACCACGTGTGAGTAAAAAAGGAAACAATATTTGTTTCTTTTTAGCAGCTGATTTACACTATATTAGTGTAAATTCGCCTTTAATGAACATTTATGTTTTTAAGAATATAATTTTTGGTTTATAATTGTCAAATTTTCTGATTTAGAAAAATTATCTTTGAAATCTTTTTATTTTAAATATACTACATTAATATGGAATATGTACAACAAATAATACTTCCTCCGTTTTTTTATTGCACCATAAGGGTTGGGTACAAATATTTTGGTAGTGGAAAAAAAGTAAGAGAGAGAAATATACGAATACAAAATTACTCATGTGACATATTGATAAACTAAAAAGTAAGTGTGAAAAGACAATGGTATGTTGGGTATTTGTAGTGTCAACACAAATAAATTTTTTCCCAAAGAGGAAATGGTGCAATATTTGTAAAATTTCCTAAAAAGACAAGTGGTGCAATAATAAAAGAACGAGGAATATTATTTTTGAAATTGATTTGTTTCCTTAATTAATAGATTAATAGATTTTTTTTATATTAAAACAAATAATTATTATTGTTGGTGTGTCTTTTTAGCACTTAGGCCCTGTTTAGTTCACCTGATTTAAGCTGATCTGATCTGGTCTGATTTGATCTGATCTGATCTTATCTTATCTTATCTGATCTGAACTTATATTTTCTGATATGAACTTATTTTTTCTGATCTTATTTGAACTGAACTTATTTTTTCTGATCTGATCTGATCTGAACTTATCTGATCTGATCTGAACTTATTTTAATTATTTCAATATTTTATTTTAAATTTTAATCAATACTAATGTTTTATTATGATTTTTTACGATTATTATTATTATTCATTATTATTATTATTATTATTATTATTATTATTATTATTATTATTATCATTATTATCATTGTTAGGAAAATTATTATTATTGTTATGAAATATTGTAGATCCCTTACAAATTTTTAAAAGAAACCTAGAAGTATTAATATTATCAGATAGTACAAGGTAATAGACATGTAATATTTGATAATTTTATTATTTACAATATCCCACATCATAAATGAATTTGTTTATAAGAAAGTATCAAAATGGGATCCTAAAAAACTTAATTTACATATTAAATTTGTCATAGTTTTTTGTTATATAGAAAAAAGAGATTTGACTTGTTTTTGTTATAGGGATTTTACAAATTTTTTGGTAATGTAAAATGGTTGACTAAATTGAATTGAAAATTATCATTTCATATTTCAATATTCGGAACAACTATGGGTAACACCTCTATTTCCCTAATTAGGTTTATTGGGTTGATGAGTTTTCGAAATTAACTTTGTCTTATGTTTTCCTATGACTTGTTTTGCAGTTTCGTATGTTCTTTGTTAGTTATTTGATTTTCTAGTTTTAATTAAAGTTCTACATATGAATCTACTATTTTTTTCTGACCTTTAGGTTTAAGTAGCTTGTTCCTTTGATAGACTTTTCACGTTTATCAACGTTGGATTTGAAGGTAGTGCTCATGATATTATCGTATGGAACCATTGCTTAACTGTACCAGAATTTTGATTTCCCCATCCACCTCCAGGTATAATTTAGAATAGTGTATGCTTTTACTCCATACAATAACACTATACTAATATCCCGTGTAACTTTATTTTGTAACAGGAAAATATTATCTAGTAGATTCTTGATATCCGAATACCGTTGGATATTTGAGTCCAATAAAAGATAAAGATATTAGAACTTATATGCCCGAATTTCGAAATGGTCCACCACCTCAAGGCATACTTGAACATTTTAATTATCTTCACTCTTCACTCCGAACAAAGATCGAGAGACGTTTTGGACAATTAAAATCTCGATGGAAAATACTGACAATGATGCCAAATATGGACACTAAACATTAATTGACGATTATGGTTGCTGCATTCACACTTCATAATTTTATTCGATTACATAAGTTGGATATACCCATTGATAGTGGTATAGAAATCGAACCAAGAGCAGATTATGATTTGTTTAACGAGAATCGTAAGGCTGTAATGAACGAAGTACAACTTAATATAGCGAAGGAAATTTGGAACTTCTTGTAATGGAAATTATATTTGTAAACGTTTATGATTTGGAGCTTATAATGAAATTTTAATTATTATCGTTTATTGTTTGTGCTATTTTTTTATAATGAAATTTTAATTATTATTGTTTATTGTTTGTGAAATAATAATAATAATAATAATAATAGTAATAATAATAATAATAATTTGTATTTATTTTGAACTTATTTGATCTGATCTGAACTTATTTTTTCTTATCTGATCTGATCTGAACTTATTTTTTCTTATTTGATCTGAACTTATTTTTTCTTATCTGATCTGATCTGATTTAAACTTATTTTTTCTGATCTGAAGGTGAACTAGCCTTACTTGATGATGGTATTGATAAATAAAAAAACCCTAAATAATATGAAAAGACCAATTTACCGTCACTTTAGCCCATTAATTTTCGCTCTTTTTGTCCCACTCCTCTGTTTTTCTCTACGTTTTTACTAGTATTTAATTTGGTGTTTCAATTGGTATATTTGCTGATAAATTTGAACTGTTGATCGACTTTTGCTCATACTTAACTGCAAATTTGTAAAACACCAGCAACAATGGCGTTGGCAGATCTAGCGTCAGCGCAACCACCGCCAACACCACCACCACGCTCACACGCCGACCTCTTCGGCGACCCAATCGACGATTCAAGCCCTCTATGGTTCAAGAAAGACCTCTTTCTCTCTCCCGATTTCGACTCCGAATCCTACATCTCTGACCTCCGAACCTTCGTACCCTTCGACACTCTTCGATCTCAGCTTCATGCTCATCTTTCTTCGCTCAAGCATCAGCTTGTTGATCTTATCAATAGGGATTACAATGATTTCGTCAATCTTAGTACTAATCTTGTTGATGTTGATTCTTCTGTTGCTAGAATGCGCGCACCATTGTCTGATCTTAGGGAGAAGATTGCTGCGTTTAGGGATTCTGTTCAAGATTCTCTTATCTCGCTTCAGAATGGGTTGAATCAGAGAGCTGAGGCTGCTAATGCTAGGGAAGTTCTGGAATTGTTGCTTGACACTTTTCATGTTGTTTCTAAGGTACCTGATTTTGGTTCATTGCTTTTTGCTATTGCAATTTCACTCACATTGCTACATTATGCGGAAATTATGGACTACTTGAAAATTACGTGATTGTTGATTTCGATAGTTGTAAATGAATTGTGATAAGACTTGTAGTTTGATAATTTTAGATGTTTAGTTTGATAATTTTTGATGTTTTAGTTTCGAGACATCAAGTGGCAATAGAAGTGTCAATCATTGCTCATCTATGAAATTCTGACCTATTTAGTTATTATCTTTTATTTTAGTTAAATTAGTTTTGTTCTTTTATGCATGGTGAAATTTATATTGATTAAAGGATTATATAATTTAATGGGTAATAATTTATTTTAACTTATGTTTGGAGACCGAAAATGACTTGGTTAGAAGAAGTTAGGAAGGATATGAAGTATATGGATTTGCATGAGGATTAGGCATTGGATCGTAAGGGATGGAGGAGGAAAATTTTTGTCGATGACTACACGGAATAAATATTTTTGGTTCATGTAGCTGATCTTACTTATGAGATTGAGGCTTTGATTGATTGATATATAATTTAAATCGGTATTTATTTATATTTGATTCTAAATGTATTTATATAAATCTAGTTGAACAACGAAACAAGCTTTTATATGAAAATTAAATTGTTGAACATGGACAAACAAGTTATTTGCTACAAAGCATGCACAACCAAACAATCTTGTAATGAAAATAAAAGGATTTTGCTTGTGTGTTTACTCATAAATGTAATTCTAAGCTCCCTCTCTCTTCCTTGACACTTCTCCCGCTTTCTTTCTTCACTATTGCTTGGGTCGAGTCTGTGGCACTAGCCTTTCTTTCTTTACCAATTTTAAGTGATTAATTAATCATATTATCAAATTTAATTTTTTATAATATTTGTGAATTATTTTGTCGTACCCATGACCCCTAACTTTGTATTGATGTTTTAACATGTCCATTCTGTGTATGTTTGAATTTGATCTCTGAACCCGTTCTCATGCATCCTAGATTACATGTGAACTTAACTAGTTGAGGTCTTTGTGAACATATATAAACAACTCGATTGTTGGTTGTGAACTTACATGGATAAGTATACTTAATTTCATGTTCAAGCTTGTTTATTAACCAAAATTTTAAAACTTGTTTATAATTGTTTCGCTTGCTAAAAATATAACTTAAATTAGTTTGAGTCAAAGATCATTACCTCAGGTCTTTTTAGATTGTTTCGATGTGTGTTCACTTCTTTTTATAATGCTTATTAACATGTAATTTTAAATATTCATGGTAAAGGTGTGCCTTGAAGACCGATACAAAATATGAAATCATTTTTTGTTTAAAGGGATTAATAAAATTTGTAAGGAAAAAAAAGGGGCAAAGACTTTTTTTTGGTTTGTCATTATGGTTGTGCATGTTTCATTTTACTTTGGCTAAACTTATGATATGATCCATTTGCTGTTATTAGGTTGAGAAGTTAATAAAGGAGCTGCCTAGTGTTCCTGCTGATTGGTCAAATGGTGACATGAATGCGTCAGAGAAGAATCATCTAAGTAATGGGATATCTTTGCAACAATCTGAGAATGAATCAAATGTAAGAGAAACTCAGAGCATGCTTTTGGAGAGAATTGCTAGTGAAATGAACAGATTGAAGTTCTATATGGCTCATGCGAAGGTCTTATACTCTTTTCCCTTTGTCTTGTCCTTTATTCATCCAGGCAACTCTTTATCTTGTTGTTGGATGAATAACCTTTTAAATTTCCTATTAATTTTGCTTTTTCTTGGCCTGATGCTTCCTCTTTCCACCCCTTAATATAACGAGGATTAAACAAAAGAAGAGTTGGAAAAGAGTTAAACACAATTGTCTTAAATTTGATCTTTGTGGGGTACTCGTTCTCTTGAATGCCTTTGGTGTGAACAAATCTATATAATATTTATCTAAATAAATTGTAAATAGCATATTAGGTGGCTTATGGGTGAAAGCCTGTAATATAATGAAGCGTAGATTTCTTATCATGTTTTTCTTTTAAAGAACAGGGGCATGTGTTACAAATACTTTGTTTTTTGTTTTTATTTGTCAGTCCATGAAGTCTTATATATATATGTATTCCAAAACCATTAGAGTAAAGCGATTTGACTTTAGACATTATATTAGTGCTTTTTTTTTTTTTTTTTTTTTTTTTTTTTTTCTCTTATTGTTTACTTTTTAATTTTATTTTTTTATAAAAGTAGCGCCAACAGAGGAAGCATTTAATCCTACTTGCCTAAATTAAACGACTCCTTTGCCTGAGTATTTTTACTTCCTAATTTAATCTGTTTGGCATTTTTGTTTTGTGAGGGTATGAGCTGGTCCGGGGATAAGTTCTCTCCCAGAACTGTGTTACGGGAGCTCCATCTAAAATTAAAATTTTCTCAAAAGAAGGTTTTATTTTGTTTGATGAGGACCATTTAGTTGCTTTCACTGATATTAAATCAATAACATGTACTCCAAAATTTTTTTGGTGTATGTAACTGCTTTTCTGTCAATAACAATGCTGAATTGCTGATAAAGTATTTAACATGATATATTGGCAACTCGAGGGCCATGAAAAATATTAAATTTTAAACACTGGCTGAGGATGGAGGTTTGTTTATTAATTGTATCAATGAGCTTAATTTACTTCAATATATTATATAGTAGTTTGCAACTTTCTCATGTATGAGTTTGTGCTATAGATAATAAATATATCCGCTCACTTTGTTCGTCCCTTATGGCAGTACAGGACCTACCTTTTATCCAGAACGTTGAGAAGAGATTTCAAAGTGCTAGCCATTTATTAGATGCAAGCTTGGGGCATTGCTTTTTAGATGGTCTAGAGCACCGAGATGAAAATGCCATATACAATTGTTTACGTGCATATGCTGCCATTGACAGTACTAGCAATGCCGAAGAGATTTTCCGCTCAACCATTGTTGCTCCTCTGATAGAAAAAATCATTCCTCATGGTTCTTCAGGATTAAATGGTGTGGCTTCTGTTGATGAACTTGAGGCTGATTTCCGAGAAATAAAACAGTGTATTGAGAAAGATTGTACATTTTTGCTGAGAATCTCTTCAAGAGGTATGGTAGATTATGGAACAACCTACTCTTTGATTTGATGTACCACATAGATTACTTAGCAAGCTGATATTACATCTTGTAGATTGGTTTTTATTGAACTGCTGCCTCCATCCCTACCTCTTGGACTATAATGAGCAAATTTTCCCTTATAAATTCTATGCTTTCTCCTCATTGTACTATTTCTAGTACATATTACTTAGCATTTGGACATTATCTGAAGTCATGGTGGTTTTTTTTTTTTTTTTTTTTTTTAATTTTTTTTTAATTTTTTTTTTTTTTTAATTTTTTTGGGTGCTGATAAATTGCTCTTGTTGTCTTTGTTCTGCAGAGGATTCAGGATTTCATGTTTTTAACTTTCTGGCCAATTCGATCCTCAGAGAGGTATATTCAGCAATTCAGAAAGGAAAGCCTGGGGCTTTCTCACCTGGAAGGCCTACAGAATTTTTGAAAAATTATAAATCGAGTTTAGAGTTTTTGTCTCATTTGGAAGGTAGGATTTAATGATAATAAATTGCAACTTGCTATGTATACTTGCATTTGAAAAGAACTTTTACTTTTTGTGTTCAAGGTTTAATCATTAAGTTATGTTGTTAAGGTTACTGCACATCCAGATATGCCGTTTCTAAATTTAGAACAGAGCCTGTGTATGTTGACTTCATGAAGCAATGGAATCTTGGGGTTTACTTCTCGTTGAGGTATCTTATGTAACCTTGGTATCTATAAAATTTAGAGAATGTGTCATTTCTTGGTTAATGGAACTAAGTGATGGAATTCAATTATTATAGGTTTCAAGAAATAGCCGGGGCTTTAGATTCTGTACTTGTAACACCGAGCTTGGTAGTGGCACAAGGTTCACGTCATGAGGTTGAAAATTTTCCAGCTTTGGTTTTGAAACAAAGTATAACTCTGTTGGAGAGTTTGAGATCTTGTTGGGGTGAAGATGTACTTGTCCTGTCTTGCTCAGACAAGTTTCTTCGTCTGTCATTACAGCTTCTATCAAGGTCGTACTTAGAAAAATTGCTAATTTTGAATTTCCTTTGAACATTAGTCTCTGCTTCATGAATGATTGGTTGACAAATTTATTAAACAGGTATTCCAGCTGGTTGTCACACGGACTCAATGCTCGGCAAATGGGTCATGCAAATGCAAACCCTGGAGCTGAATGGGCGATCTCTGCTGGGCCTGAAGATCTTCTATATGTATGAACACCTTTTGCATCTGGTTCTTGCTTATTTTTCGAATGGTTTTGGTTTATAATATTAAAAATGGAATTGTTGTTTATATGAAATGTGCTTCACAACTTCTAGTAGCATACCAGTGACTGCAAATCAGTGGCGCGACTAGCGCACGTCTGCTACTTGCTTTTGAACACTTCTCTATTTCATTTCTGAGTAACTTACTCTGTGTGTGTGTGTGTGTGTGTTGTGTGTGTGTGTGTGTGTGTGTGTTTGGGGTGGGGGGGGGGGGAGGGTAGGGGGTGAGGAGACAATAAAGATGGATCAAAATTAACTTATGGCTATTTCTGCTACTCTTTCTAGTGCTACCTGCAGTGTTCCTTGATCATGGTTGTTAAGAGTTAAGCCTTTAATGTTCATTATCTGTCTCTCAGTCTCACTTTTTGGCTATCATGTAGATGATGTACACATAAGCATTTAGGGATTCTGTCTGTCTTGATTTCAGTTGAGTCGTATATTAAATTAAGCTGAATTGCTTTTCAGATTATTCATGATGTAAAGACCCTTGTGGATGAGGTTTGTGGCAACTACATTGGACATGTTATGGAGATTCTTTCTTCGTGTCCTACTGAAGTGATGGATACCGTCAAACAGAGCATATTGCAAAGTGCAAAGTCTTTGGAGAATATGGTCCCTTCAGTGATAAAATCCATAGTAGATATGCTGGTTGAGAAGTCTGTTGAGGTGAGCTAAATAATTGGTTAATATTGTGAACATAAGCATCAGTTTAAATGAATATATATAAAACCAGTATAATAGTTTGGTTGGCAACTTGGCAATAGTTTGGACAGCGTGTTGGCTAGATGCTGTTCACTGTTATTTTATTATTTACCTGACTCCCATATAGGTCCTTTCAGCTTGTGTTCTCTGGTTTCAGCTTGTGTTTTCTGGTTATATAGGTTGTGTGGTTGAAAGGAAATTCATTTTCAGGACATAACATCATTAATTTGCTTTATACGAAAGATTTTTTTCTTCAAACCTAACACTACCCAGGAACTTTCTGGATTAATACGTGTACAGATGGCAACCAAGAATAAATCATGTCAGAAAGCGTAATCATGATTGTTTCTAGAGTGAGGGTGAATGTTCATTTGTTTTGAACATGGCTATATTCCAATCCAATCTGAAATAATGTCTGTTTTGGATTCAAGTCCAATCCGATCCAATGATTATGGACTTGGTAGTTTGGATCCTTTTATATTTATTTTTTATTATTTTTTTAAATATGGGAACTTCTGTTTGGTGCTCTTTAAGTTTTTTATTTTTCTCAATGATAAACAGCAAAATATCAAATTATCTTTGGTGATCAACTATAAGTGTTACTAATTCAGTGCTGACAATAGTTAAGCAATTAAATGATTTATTAACTGTGGTTATTGTTTTAAAAGGGAGGGAAAAGGGAATTGCTTGAAATGCTCCTATTTAAAACAGCCAACCATTTGTGTCGAATCACATTCACTGAGTAAAAACTATTGCAAAACCACATCCCTTGATTCTGCCCCTTTGAGATCCAACGGTACAGATACTTTCCCTAATAATCTTCCAGAGTTTTTCACCCCACAAGTTGCCCCTGTTCTTCCTGTAAAGATTGAAATCTTCAAAAACAATTTACTGACAAAAATCGATTTTCCGGTGAGTTTATTATTCAGATCATCCCTGCTTAAATGGAAAGTTGCGGCGGCCGATGAAAGAGGTTTTCGTGGATGGTGCCGTCCGAAAACGCTGGTATTCTGTCGTATTGTAGGGGATAACAACGGTTTGAACGGTTAAACCTTTGAATTTGATTTTGCAAAAACACGGGGAGGATATTGGGTGGATTACAGTGCGTGCTGGTTTTACTAGTACCTGAACTTTAATTTCAACGAAAGGTTACCAACGGTTAGATGTACAAATGGATAAGGATCCATGCTCACTTTCTCTCTCCTCAAAAAGACCCCAATTTACAGAGCACTAGCAGAAGTAATACTTCGCTACAACTAGAAAAACAAAAGGAAATAAATGGTATATATGAAATGAGGAAGAAGGCGCAGGTTAGGAAATTGGCCTAGGAATTGGTGAGTATTTAGGGATGCACATTGCTCATACGGTTAAGAGATGAGCTACTACAACATTGCCGGAATTTCTTCATGAATTCTAAAACTCTGATATATATATATATATATATATATATATATATATATATAGGGATTGGGAATTTCGTTTAGGAGGGAAAGGGGTAACTGACTTTTGGAGGAAAAACTCATTTTTAAAGATATATTGGTCATTTTGCCTTCAATTAACTAGGGTTAGGCTTATACTTGTGGATTAATGTCATTAATGTCACCACTGAATTAGTAACAATAATAGTTGATTACCAAAGATAATTTTATTTTTTGCTGTTTTCCATTGAGAAAAATAAAAATCTTAAGAGCACCAAAGAGAGTTTCCAAAAAAATATTTATTTTTCTTTTATTTGAGGGGTGGGTTTCCAATGGCTCATGGACATTTTCTACAAGGCCAAATATTGACCTCATAATCAACTTAAGAGTTAACATATATAATCATCAGCATATTACAAAATGTACAGATGATTCTATATCATCTGTTTTTTCTGATCTGATCCACAAATCCAATTTTTTTATTAAAAAAATTTGAGTCTAATCCAATCTGATGTAATAAAAATCCAATCCAAAACTGTCTGGATAAGATTTGACTTTGGATTTAATCCAAATAAGTTACACCCATATTCCAAGTAATGATCTGTCAAACTATATTGACGAACCAAATGATTCAAATCAGTATTATTGTCAGTTTCGTTCTCTTATTTGGCTAAGTATCTATTTACTACAATCAATATGATGATAGACATGTATATGCTTATGTCTTGATCCTTGCTTTCAGCTTTATAGCATGAGTAGCTGAAGACAGTAAATGATATGGGATTTGAATTGTTACATAGAATAACACATGTATATATTGATTCATAGTGAATCATAGTGCCTTACATTTCTAAATTCTCTATGGCTGAAGGATGGGTGGGAGTAAATTGAGATGCTTAGTCACAGTGTTTTGAACTGTTTACTAATGGATCTTTTGAATTCAGGCCTTGCTTCAGCTAAAGGGAATTTCCGCAACATATAGGCTGACTAACAAACCTCTGCCTATCCATCATTCTCCATATGTCTCAGCGATTCTTCACCCTCTCAAGGTTAGCATTCTTGAATTTTTATTAGAAAAGAATTTGATTGTCTTCCACCTACCTCTGCTAATTCACAAGACTATGGCTTTTGAAACCTAGTTGGAGATTATTTCAATTTTTGATCCAATTATTTCAAAGTGGCTTCAAATCTTCTACTACATATACTAACATCTCTCCAGTTTTTTGAATGAAGAACAAATGTGACACATGCATTGTTTTGTTCTGATTTTTATCTTTTTTAGTGTTTTGAGGTCATTTAATAGAGTTGTCTTGCCTTTAATGTAAACATGGAAACGCCTTTACATGCTCTATAAATCTGAATACTTTACCTTCCTCCCTTCTCTAAATTTGTAAAGAGGTATCTAGTGAATTAAACATGTACCTCGCAGACTTTCTTGGATGGAGACAGAGCTGCTACATTTCTGGATGATGCTACAAAACATGAACTCATACAAGGTGTTTCGTTAGAGATCACCAAGAGTTATAATGACTTGGTCTCTGAACTAGTTAATGTGGTATGTATGATAATTGGCATACAAGAAACGCGTTTTAAAATTCCTTTACCATTAATAAGTTATGACTGAATTATTGTAATTCCTCAGGCACGAAAAACAGAAAGTTCGCTGCAGAGACTACGTCAAGGTGCACAAAGGCGAACTGGAGCAAGCTCGGATGTGTCAGACCATAATGTATCTAATACAGATAAAATTTGCATGCAGCTGTTCCTCGATATACAGGTGCTTTCTTTTCTAGTTTTCTTTTCTCTATATTATATGAGAATAAAAAAACTCCTCTTGCTTCGGTAATATACCAAAATGATTTCTTTTGTAGTGCCTGCATTCATGTTACACCAATAAATACTAAAGACATACTTATAGAAGAGGGGAAAAGGTGGGGCTCACTTCAATTGAGCTCTAACCTTGAGGTAGAGGATTGGATTCTTTGATTCTGATTTTTGAGTAGAAAAACTTAGTAATAACCAGCACCTACCTGAATCTTGTAGCGTCAAAAAACTAGACATTCTATGTATGTAACCTGTTTATCTATATATTTATGTTGTAATTTTCAGGAATATGGGCGTAATCTGGCTACCATTGGAGTTGATGCAGCGAAGATCAAAGATTACCAGGCATTGTGGCAGTGTGTGGCACCTGTAGAAAAGCAAAGCACGATAGTCTTTTAGCCTCATGTTTAGTTTGTGATTGTAGCAATCTTCTATAGTTCATACTTTCCTTCTAATTTTTGTTTATATTTTTTTATTTTTTTTAAGAGGTGATTTACCATGTAAGTTCACACCGTGTTTATATAATATAATAGCAGCAGGCTCTGAATTTTTTTCTGTGAAGACGTAGTCGCTCAAGATTTTGCTTCATCTGGAAGAGAAGCACCTCATGACGAAATTTGTAGATATGATCTAATATCAATCACGGCCATGTAAGAACTCACCAGCATATTTAAACTATAGATAAAATTTCCGTACAAAGTAGTATATTAATAAGAATCCAAAGCATTTAGCAATATATGCATATATTGCTTGGCATGGCATTTGAGAAAGTCTGAAGTAATGTTGTGGATTTTAACCATCTTATTCGGTTAAGGCCTAAGCCTAGTATCTCTATTGAGAAATAAGGATGTATTTCAAATACTTCCTCTTTTTTTTAATTATTGCATTATAAGGGTTGAATACAAATATTTTGGTAATGGAAAAAAGTAAGAGAGAGAAAGGTAAAAATACAAAATTGCCCATGTTACATATGTTGGGTATTTGTAGGATGAACATAAATAATTTTTTTTTTCTAAAAAGGAAATGGTGCAATATTTGTGAAACTTCCTAAAAAGACAAGTGATGCAATACTAAAAGAACAAAGGAAGTAGTAAAAGAGGTAAACAATAGCAACTTTATTAATATTTTATCTTTTTTTTGTTGATTGATTCATCCTCTTAGAGCATGCCCAATGGTCAACCAATTGGGTTGGTTATTAGGAGAGATAAAGTGAAAAAATAATAAAAAATTGAAGAGAGAGAAAAAGTAGGGGAATATTTCAATAACCTGGTTATTTTGATAACCGGCTATTTGTGGTTGGTTATGGAATATAATATTGCAAGTGGGATGATTTTTATGACACCCTTGATGACGTGGCAGAATAGGATTGTGTCACCTATTTCTTTAATCAATAGCTGAGATTTGCTCTGATTTTTATTACCGTTGTAATTTTGTAATGACCATAATTTTTAAAATACAATTCTAAAAAAAAAAACACCAACGACTCTATTTTATTTTTCTCTATAAAATGAGCCCAATATTAAGGTATTTTGAAATAATATTTTTTTTAGTGAATATTACTCTCTTTGTTATCAAATTGTGTAAGAGATGAATATTTCAAAATCTAATAGAAAAAAAAAAACCCACAAAATCTCAAAACTCATCACAACCCCAAAATAATACAAATCTTCAACCTTACTATTCTAACATTCCAATTGATCTCAACTCAGATTTAGATACAAATTTTCAACAATTTTCGAGTTATGGTTCACAAAATATCAATTTTAAACATAAGTCATTTTATTTAATTAATGTATGCTAATAATAATTATTAGTTTTAATTGATTATTACCAAGTGTATTAGTTATATATGATAGGATTTAAGAGAGATATTGTGTGGTAGGGTTTGGTAAAAGTATGAGAGAGAAAGTGTATAACCAAAAAGATGTGGTTAACTATTGGGAGACATTGGTTATTAAATGGGTATAAGAGTGGTTATAGATGAGGTGAAAAATGTAGAAATTAATAAAATAAGCAAATAACCACAATGGTTGTGGGCAACCATTGTGTTTGCTCTTAGGGCCTCTTCCTCCGTCTCCTTCTATTTCCTTCCGTTTCTTCAACTTTCTTCATCATCTCTTCTTCAACCTTGTTCATCATCTTCAGCCTTCCTCATCATCAATGGGGGATGGACCTCAACTCCATAAGAATCACCATATTTTGGGAATTTCTACACGGTACCCTCAATTTTTGCTACTTCTACTTGCTAACCCCATTTTATTTCTATAAGGGTAGATCCCGTGCCATGCATGGTAATCTTCATAATTTATCATTAGTTTTATACTATACTCGATATTCTAAGTCATCAAAGTTACCGTTAAAAAGAGTGTTTATATTTACTTAGAAATTATTGAAGATATACATACTGTTTTCAATTAAACTTGATTGGAATACGTTTTATGGTTATTTGTTTTGTTTTTTTTAAAGATTTAGTATTTGATTCTTTTGTCAATTAATTTTTATTTTAATAAGAAACAATGAAATATAATCTAGCCTAAATCTAGTATAGAAAGTAGAGAATATTGTTGGAAAAGAAAAAAAAAAAAACTACTCTTGCTATGATTGATTTGCGAGTACATAAATTCTTGCTATAATTATTTTGCTATCATTAAGGTTATTTACATTTTATTTGATTCTTTTTTTAATTTCGTTAGAAATTTTTACCCAAAATAAGCTTTCAAATAGAGAGAAAAAAAAAACCTAAGAACATACAAAAAAAACATGTGTCATTGTTGGTGTGTCTTTTAATATATAGTTATAGTTATTGATTGACTGATTGATTCCACAAAATGACCCTAATTAAAATTTTATTCCATCTTATAACCTTATTATGTTAATTTTTAAGAAAATACAAATCATGGCTAACCGCAATGATAAAAATTACTTACATACCCTTACCAATTCATCTCATCACCACTGATCACTGATTACATCACCAATATTCATCAATGCTGACCAAATTTTATTGTGTTGCTACAATACCAAGATCCAGGCCACAATTTCTTATCAAACCACCTTAATTTGATTTTTACCCAGAAAAATTGAAGAAAATTCAACAAAATTAGAACCACTTATCCATTTTTCCGAACAAACTTAGCAATTGGTCTTACATGCATCCTTATGCAGCTAGGATACATGCAACACTAGCCCAATAAAGAAGCAGCTCAATTGCTAAACTCACCCAAATGCCCCGAAAACGTGACCTAATCCAAATCTTTACTTCCCAAACGTGACCCACTCCAAATCCATATTTTGGATTTTCAATTTATTTTAAATAAAAAACCGTTTTACTTCTAATTAATTTTTCAAAAATAAAAATCTGCAACTAATTTCTTTGATTTTCTCTCTCCAAACACCATTCTCTCCTCTACATGATTTTACTTCACTAAAAACTGAAAAATAAACAATGGATATACGAGAAGAGATGCAAATCAAAAGGATTGTCCTACAAAAAGGTAAATTTTCTCTGATTTTGGTCCGAATTTATGTAGATTTTTTTATGAATATCACTAACTTTCATCGTTAATTTTCGTTCGAATTTTTCGATACACTGTTTGACTTTTTTGGTTTCATAATCATGTTAGGAAACCAATTCCTATGTTCATATTTTGAATGATTATGTTCACTTTCTAAAATGCATATGTTCATATTTTTTTATGCTTATGCATGTTCACTCTCTGAAAAGTTAATGTTCACATTTAAGGGAACCTATGAATATGTTCATATTTTGCATGATTATGTTCATAGATAATTTCATAATATTCATGATGTAAATATGTGTTGTGAAAAATATTCTCATTAAGTCTGTTTATGCATATGTTCTCTTTCTTAAATGCTATGTTCAATTTTTTTTACGCATATGTTCGCCTTTTAAATGCTTATATTCACTTTAAGGAAACCAATGCTTACGTTCACATATTGAATTGTTATGTTCATTTTCTGAAATGCATATGTTCATATGTTTTATGCCTATGTTCACTTTCTAAAACGCTAATGTTCACATTTAAGGGAACCTTAGCATATGTTCATATTTTGCATGATTATGTTCATTGATAACAAAAATACAGAAAATCAGATGAAATTCATACACAGATGGAATTGGTCGAAGCTAACAGAATTCAATTCATATAAATTCAAAAAACCAGATGGAACATAATCAATCGGAATTAAGCACAAATTCACCACATAACAAACCGAAATTCATACATAAATCGAAACAATTACAACTGAAACATAATAAATTGAAATTGATCGAAGCTAACAAAAAATCAAACAAAAAACAATTACAATTGAAACTAACAAAAAAACCTAATTACAAATCGCAAAACAAGCCACTAACTTGCATTAACGATCTTGTTGGGAATCACAACCAATTCCATATTGTAAGAACAAGTTCAATCGAAAAATTGAGAAAAAGAGAAAAATATAAAAACAGAGGAGAGAGAAATTAAAGAAGGAAGGAGAAAAAAAAAAGAGAAGAAAAAATTGTAAGGAAATTTTTGATCAAAAAAGTTTGATGAGAATTAGGGAAGAAAAGTGAAGAGAGAGAATTGGGAAAAAGAAAACCAAAAATTTACACGGGAAGAATGTTAGAGCTGAGATGATTATAGATTGTATGATTTGAGATGGGATGTGTTTCATGAACAAAGTCATGCGTTTCAGCGTGTTGCAGCTATTCTTACATGCATGCTCATGCATGTAAGAAAATGCCTAAACCCAATTCATTCTCTTTGAGTGTTGCCCTGAAGCTCATGTTCGAAAACCCGTCGTCAGCTACCATCTTCATTCTGTTTACCCAGAAAATTTGAAGACCCATAAAAATTGAACCATTACCATTTTCAAACAAGCCTAATCAAACTTGTTGAAGCACCACCCATTAGACCGCCTCTAAGATTGTGTTTCGAAGTTCCATCACCAAAGGCTGCATTACTACAATAGTGTTGTAATTGTTGGTGTTGAGAGACCCGGTTGCTAGTGGCTGTGGTGGAGGAATATAGAGAAAGGGATTTTTTTTTTTGACAAAAATTCTAACCATAGTTAGTTATCTAACCAAAAGTTTAAGTTAAAACATTCATTTAGGTTATAAAGTGGAATAAATTTTTAATTAGGGTCATTTTATGAAAAAAGGGAGGTTACTATAGGGAATATTTATTTCAAGCATCCCACACTTGAGCCCCACTATGATCATACACTTAAGTATGGTGGCGTCCAAAGGGAAGGAAGCTAGAGCAAAAGAGTCGCCAACAAGTTTTAGGAACTTGTAAATCGTCCACAGGGTGAAGGTTACACCCCTTCACAATCCATGAGATCACTAACTCCATAGTGGTCCTAAAATATGACTGGATATTCGGGGATGAAGGTACAAATCAAACCTAAAAGAGATTGAACCTGCCCTAAAAATAGGCCTCTACTTTGTTCTTCTCATATTCATGTGCGCTTTCTTACTAACATACAATTTATATATTAATCCTAAGGAAAAATATTGTATAGAACGGACTCACGTGAGTCCGTTCTATTAATAGGCCCGCGCGTGGCCCGATTTTATATTCTTCTTCAATTCTTATTCTTCTTCTTCATCTCTATTGCTTTCTTCAAAAAACCTTCAACCATGAAAGGACTCTCAACAATAGCGGCGGCGACCTTCTCAAATTATATTCTTCATTAAGAACTTATATGAC